AATGCTGTGAGAAAACGCGTGGTGTTAACTTCTGCGTGACATCATACGCCAGCATGCCCATTGTCACATCAATTAATTGAAAAAGATGCGCAAGCTCTGATGCCACCGAACCCGTGTGAAAGTAAAATCAATTCGGCGACATGCGTACCACGCAGCACCATTAGGTTGAAAAAAAGAATGCTGGTGTTTTCGCTTCCGCTTCCATTATTAAGCGTTTGGTACTTACAACTTAACATCATGACTTCACCATAGATCTGGAAACGATACCCAAAAGTGCAGAAGTGCAAAACTGCGGAAAATATAACTTTTTTCTAACTGGCGGGAAGCGTCATTTTCGAACCAAGCTGACAGGCTCCTAAAACTGTCTTAGCTCCCAAAATATTTTGGACACTAATGCCTAACTTCTGATAAATATAAGTCCGGGTGAAATCGTTGTTCTCTTGCAGAACATTGTCTCGAACCCCGGAGGTGACGCGCCTCCATGAGGCTGGTCATCTGCGTCATCCTGCGTCTTCCGATACTTAGCTTAACACACCTTTGCGCTTTCATGAGTACGTTCCAGCCTTACCCATCATCACATACCGCCTCACTCTAACCCATCAACATTATAAGTAGAGTCTTCTACGGCGAATCCCTGGGCCTGGTTTGATGCCAATAAGTTAAATGACCTGTGTGGTGCAGGATCATACCTCCTTCCCCGTTGCGCTCTTCAGTGTCACATCGCCGATATGCGGAGTTTATCCCAAGATACCACCTTCTCAAGTCGTGTGGTTTTGGAAGCCACTGAACATAATATAGTTGCCTCCAGAAGCCAGGCTCATGCTGTTATCATTCTCATTTACCAAGTAACTTTTCATGAGGAAGCGCATGTTGTCTCGCCTGTCTCAAAAACAGCACACATCCCAGCTTTGGCGTTTACTTCCAATTGAGATTCAAGCTTTCTGATTCCTCAAGAAGGACCACCCCACCACCCGTACCCTATATTTCACATCTGGTTCAGCCGCACGGCCCAGTCATGGTACTTTATCTGGACGAACTGTTTTTGTTGTTGTCGGTATACCTCTAGGAGAACAGCCTCAAAAGAACCCTTTTTTAGAGCAGCTTCCATTCAAATGATTGACGATCTATCGGCGTCTTCGACACAAGCTTTTAGTTGAAACATAATTTCTTCAGCTTCAGATGATTTGTTCATTAGACACAGAAATCTAAAGTGACACGTCCATTCCTCATGATTTTTTCAGAAAAACACTCGGCTACCCAAGTCCCGAAAGTCGGCTTTGGTCCATAACCACGCAGCATCCATCGGTGCAACCAACTGCGTGCAAGAGCTACTTCCCCCTGAAACGGATCCTTTGACAAATATGGCCAGACAAACACGTACGTCGGCCAGCTGAGTCACAGGTGAGTCGGCTCTCCAGAGTTGCCATCTCTTGTCTTAATAAGCCTTGTTTCTAGCCCTGGCTCTAGTCTTAACAGTATTCCGGGCAGATGTATACCCTTCACGACTGTTAGCCACCGAAAAGCTCCATGCCATATCGGCGCCTAAAATCTGCATTTAATCCACTGACACAGTGCTGCACACCTCGCGTTTGTCCCTTCCCACCAGACAGTCCGCAAATCAAGCCTACACATCCCGTCCTCGGGACTCCCATTCAAATTTCTACAACTATACTGCAAGCTCACTCTTATCAACTTTCTCCGAAACCACCCGCGTTGACGCAGCTTCTTCCTTTGATACTAAATCTTTCCATCATCTGCACTAGTGAGTCTACTGCACGGCTACATATCTGTCGCCTACTTGAGTTTTCCAAGCCCCTTACAGCTAGCCACATCCCGAAGAGTCAAACACCTTATAAGGTCTCACAAGCGATGCCTAATTTGCCTGTATCTACAATAGTTTTGCCGGTATCGCAACTCATTTTACAAATATGGCTTGTATTTACCACGTCTTCTTTCCTGATTTTGATCAGGTGATCGCGATTACCTACGGAGCTTGAAGACCACCTTGCAGTAATACCAGACCTGGGGGATGAGATTTTACTCCACGGTTAAGGTCGTCTGTGATTTGACAACAAAAACGTTACGAACGTGCACTGGATTCGTGCCATACCCCATGTTTCCATTTAGATATGGCTTGAATATTTTATACCAGTATGCCCATATCTTTGGGTCAGCGGCGGGCTTGAATTTAGGGTCGTTTAATACTTTCTTCCTCCTATTCTGGCTTTGGCTGTCAGGCAGCTTACATCCATCCTTCTATTTCAGAGCCTTTCACTGTGCATATGTTATCGTGTTCATGTCCCATTTAATCCATCAGGCAACCCATGTATAGGAATAGACTTAGCTTTGAAGCCGGCCTCAGCTGTTGCACGCAATATTCATCTACTTGTTGCAGTTTGTTCTTTGAATTGATCCTGATTGATCCCGAAGGAGTTGTTTTGTTTTCATTTTACTTCAGAATAATACCTTGAAAAGACGCGTGCCGTAAACGGTGTTTCACGTTTTTAGATTTGATTCGATCGGCGAATCACATGAGGTTGTTCTTGTATAGCCTTAGTGCTAGTCGTTCGGTTGTTGCAGTTGACAGTGTCTGTCTACCGCTACCGCGCTTCATAGCACTCAACTATTGAGTTAATTTTATCTGTGATAACAGGATTGATATATGTGAGCAATTCAAACTCATGCGTGTATATGTCATGGCATCGTGAGCCTGGAAGATGTAGTGGTGTTGCCTGGGACTAGATTGTGACGTTCACTTCGCACTATGTATACAGCTGGTCGAAATGTCACCTTGTTAACTGCAAGAGCACTGTGCTGCATTAATGGAGGACAGTATCAGAGCTGATCAAGGAGTCAATTCAGGAGCCTTAGGATATGCTGGAGGCCAAAATGCGGTGGCTAGGTTTCTTCTTGACAGTGCACAGCTGATCATTTTACGCGGCCGTATTTTGTATTCTTACGGCCAAACCGCCGGTACACTAAGACTAACTTTGGAGAACCTCAAACAAGTATACGAAGCGAGATAAACTGCGTCCTTTTTGTCTTCAAAGAAAACATGCAACTTGGATCTGAAGGACAATGTCCAAATATATATCCGTGAAGGTAGGCTCCTATTGCACAGCGAGAAAAACTAACAGGGCATCAACATGCAGATGGTAGATATGCAAGGTTTCAGGGGCAACAGGCCCCGTGTATTTGGGATGCAAAACTGTCAATGTCGCCGACCCAGACTATAGGTGACCATGTGTCACATTTCGGATTTCAGCTCAAACATGATCCGGATAGGTCGTGAGTTGGTCGTCACATTGCAACCTCGCGTTGAACCGTGGAATCCGAACGCGTCTACTGCCGGAAGACAGTCTGGAAGTGGCAGTGATTTCTGTGCTCTTCCCGCCAATGAGCAAAGTGTTTTTGCTAGTTGATAACCCCAATATTGCCAGCCAGCTGGCTCAGTCGTTGACCTTATTAAGCAATCACATCTGGCAAGAGTGACCATGCTGCCCCTGGTCGATCAAACAATCCGAATAACAATCCTTTGCGATGTGACAAAAGCAAATGCAGTCATAGTCCGGGGAGCCTGCAGTGTTACCAAAAGCGATTCAATGGGGATTATGTCAGCGTTAATTTTACGCTAGAAAAGCGTTATCTGGAGCTCTTATTTAGGATTCTCCCCTTCCGAAGATAGGGTTCTCACGGATGATCAGACGGAGCCGTTGACATTTGTAGCATCGTCCGCTCAGACGCATGGCAAGATATCGAGGCCTTGTGTGGGTGGAAAATTCAAAAAGAAATTTCAAGGCCATTTTAAGAGCACATACACTGTGATTAAGCGGTTGAGGAATATTTGGATGGAAGCTGCCTCCCAAGTATCATATTAAAGTTACGCAATTCGGGGGTTTTCTCACTATTCAAAAACGAACCTGCAATAAACTGAAAAATGTCCGAAGTATTTTCATTTCTGCTTCTGAGTTCCATAGTAAACCCTAAGGTTGGTCGTGTATGTGAAATGATTTGACAGAAACTGATGCTATTCGGGAGATATCCGGTTGATTTTGTATTGACGTACAAGAAAATTCTTATATTAGGTCAGATGATGGTGCGTGTCATCTCTGAAGGTGTGATGGGTTCAAGAGTAAGTGCCGTGCATTATTGTCCATGTGTTTTCAAGCGAGAGGTGCCCAAGTATAAGCTTCCCAGGTTCTTTCAGCAGACCCCATCTCCTTTGGCGCCAGTGCAGCTTGTGGGTACACGTGGCACACATAAGTAATGTTTGGCGGCAATGACATCAAGTTTATAGGCGCTGTAAGTTGAGACAAAGCGTATGAGTACTCTGACGGTGTAAATTGTCAGCACGGTTATTACGTGCGAGTTTGGGTGTTGCTCCTCCAACTCAGAAACAAGCTACCAAGGATTGAATTATGAGAATATCATTCAATCGGAGGAACGGGTCTGTCGACAGTGCAACCGGGATAAAAATGGGGTCATTCATAACTATGTGCCTGCGATCTCAAATGATCGGAGTTTACGGCTACATCAAAGTTTTAGGCTCGATGACAAGCTTTGCCTAAGTACGGTCGTTATCCCAGGATTTGGAAACTAGGATGCGATCAATCGCTGTTAAAGCTTTCTGGGGTTGTTTCACACTTGGTTATACAGTGGAGCTTGACATCGGATAGAACTGGAGGTATCTCGTAAGAGTTTCATTTGCCTAACCTGATTTTGCCGACGGAGCCGAGAGCTTCTAACCAGGATGACTAAATACAGTTAGCAGCTCTAGAAACACTGGCATTTTGTTTTCCTGGGAGCTGAACAAGGGGAGTGATTGAGCGTTCTGTGTAAAGTAACAGGGTATTGTAGCTCGGATCCCGGTGATTAGCTTCATTCAATCCCTACTGAACGCGCAAAAACGGATCGCACTATCTAAAAGCTATAGCACCTCGGGAACTAGTGTTAGAAAGTAGATCGTATGCATCTAGCCTACATCTAGCGTCTTTGCTCACCGTGTATATTGGTGGATACTACCATTTCATCCCCTTGCCATACGTCCCAGTTTTCCATCCTTTTCTCGTATACCGACTGCCCTATTTCGGCTAATTCTGGCGAAGATGGTTTACCTCCTTCACGTGTGCTGTTTGCACACATGGCTAATTTATTGTTTCTGTAAATTCGCAGTTTCATTTGCACAGAGGTCACCCTGGGTGATATATATTTTGCCGTTAAACTTTGATCGCATTTTGATGCCTCTGACGCCAAACAAATTGAAGGTGTTCTCGCTAAACTTAAAACTAGGGCCACCTGCATGCATTTTCGGGAGGGCCCGTTCAAGCACCCGTGGGCTCAGTTGCAGTATCAGGGCTACATATGCAATAAATTGCAACAATAACATGGAAGTCATGTCACCCAGGCTAACTATCCCCCGCCGTTTCACTGCATTAATCTTATTGTTGGATATGCAGGACAAGTACCAACACTTTGCCGGCCTATTCGGCCTTTCTTTAATGTCAAACGTCTTCAAATTTTTCGCAATCATATCTCGCAGTCTAGTTATGGTTTGTGACACACAGCTTCATAGCCATCAAGCGGGCATCTCTAAAATCCCTGATAATGTCTTGAGTTGGGGCTTCTAAGCGTCATACTACCATTGTAACGGCGATACTACTGATGGGGACATGCGAGTAACATGTTTTTCTTGTAAATTCGATTCGCGTTTCTTGAAAAGTGAGATCTATTGCGGTATTGTTGGAGTAGCTTTGCAGCGTCTGCCTGAATTTCAGCAACAGTCAATGAATATCCAGGAGAGTTCGGGAAGACGCGTTCAAGAGAAGATGGATGTTCAGCTTTTGTAAATAAGATGCAAATGTGAGTTTGCTTCCCTGTTCACTAGTCTGTAACTGGTCAATTGGCAATTTCTAATAAATAACTCCGCAGCGAAGGTCTTCTACCTTTCATTTGATACCGTAACCAGGATAAGGGGGAGGATACTGTGGCCCCAGCCCTTTGATGACGGAGATGTTCAGACCTTCCTGGAGGATTTTGAGGAGTTTGCGGAGGCTTCTGGACTGAATACCGATCGGGGTAAGTTGGCGGCGCTGAAGACCCTCCCCAATGGCCGGGCGAAGGCAGCCCTGGATGCGGCCAGAAGGGGACTTCGGAAGCTGGATGGACCTCCGCGAAAGAAGTCCTTGCAGCGAAGTTTGACACGCCGGCCGACTGCCAGGAGGCTATGAGGCTATGAGGCTCAATACGGCCAGGATGCCACCTGCATCTGACCCGAGCGTGTTCTTCGCTGGCCTGCAGCTTTGTTGGACCGCGCTTTGTCGGGACTGGACGGAGTGTCGCGCCACCATTTGTTTTCCAACAAGTTCATCGAAGGTGTTCGGCCATCTCTTGGCCCCAATCGCGGCTGGCGCGAGCAACTGACCAATTGAGTGTGGAGCTGGGGCGTCTGACTTGGGAACTGCCCGGGGCAACACTGGCCACGTCGCAGTTGCAGAAGGTGGATGGTTCACCGGTGGAAGAACTGCAGACCAGAGTGGACTAACTCACCGAACAACATGCAGCCATGAAGACGGAATCGAAGGAGCACGCTCGAACCAGCCGGTGCTAAAAGCGTGGCAGGCCTGGCCACCGGAAGAATCAGTGTCCTCGTACCCAATCGCTTGTACATAATAAAACTTTGGAGTACCCCTCTTTTCCTGGGTGGGTTGCGATAAGTGCACTGAAAGCCACCACACAATCCATTGTCGAGGTAGACGGGAGCAGGGAGCTATGTTTGATTGATACAGGAACAGGCGTTTCGCTGATGTGGAGACGGAACCAAGCTGAACGCAGACCGTGCGCGCTAAACGTGAGAGCAATGGGTGGATATCGACTGAAGATTGACACATTCTCAATGCACTCGATATATCTAGGTCAATAGTCCGTACATCACGAGTTCTCGATCAGCCCAGACACAGAACAGACAATATTGGGGGTGGATTTTTTCAAAGGCACAAATTTTGTGATTGACCTAAAGCTGGGAAAGCAGGTGACAAGGTGTGGCTCAATCAAGCTTGAGGGTTATCCAAGCGCTGCCGTGTGTGAGCTGCGTGTCCGAAAACTTCCGTCTCGTAATGTACTGTCAGCACTGCCTATGGTCAAGGAGTATTCCAAAATGTTCACGGGCGACGAGGATCCGTTTGGCTCCTGCCCGTGGATTGAACACGAAATTGCCCTGTCGTCACAGCGCTATCAACGTATGGCCCCTGTCCGTTGCCGCTCTATCTATGGGAGGAGGTTAATAAACAGTTTGAAGAGATGTTCAAGAATGGCGTAATCAAAGAAGTCAATAGTGCGTACAATTCCCCACTTGTGCTTGTAAGAAAGGCGAACGAAAAACATAGGTTTTGCGTGGATTTACGGCGCTTGAATGAACTGATCGTAAATCGGGTTGTAGCTGTCCCCTCGGTTGCGGATATCTTCGATTCCCTTCCAGTATTCTCGGTATTTCACGGTGTTTGACTTGCGTTCCGGGCCTTCCGGATACTAGAAACTATCAAACAAGGAGGAAGAGCTGGAGAAGACGGCTTTTACGGTTAGGGATATGCAATATCAATTTAGACGAATGCCGCTTCGTTTGTCTGGGACACCATTCACATTCCGGTGCTTCATGCTTTGTTTAATGAAGGGAATCCGTGTGCGGAGACGAAATGGTTGTGTACAGCGATTGGGAACCAAAGTGCGTAGTTCACTTGAAGGCCATATTGAAGTGCATCCGGGAGGCTAATGTGCGGATATGCCAGGACAGCTCGCTCGGAATTTGGTGACTATTGGGGCATAAAGTGGGTCACGGAGAGGTTAGCCCTCTGCCAAAAATGTCCCCAGCTCAAAGCGGTTTCATGGACGAGTAGCATACTACGGCCGGCTTGTCAAGGATTCTAACAAGATGGCTGCTCCAGTGTACGACTAGCTCGGGCAAAATCTGAAGTTCAAATGAACCAGGAAACCCCAGGAGACTTTCGAACGTTTCAAAGCGCGAATGCTGGATCAGCAACTGATCCTCGAACTGCCCAGGGTCGAAAAGATGTTCAGTGTTACAACGGACGGTAGTGATCGCGGTATCCGCGCAGTCCTGAAGCAGAGGAATGGAGTTATCGGATATGCCAGTCGTGTCACGACTAACGCTAAACAGAAGTACTCGACCATTGAGAAAGAAAGTTTTAGCGATCGCCTGGGTTCTGGGTTAGTAAAGCCCATAGGTGCTTGGACAAATATTTCACGTCGAAACCGATCACGAACCTCTGGAGTCGATCGTGACCACCAGAGTCCTCCTGGAAAGCTCGCGCGCTAAGCACTTTGATTTCAAGAAAACGGCCTCCCATTCCAGCACGTGCCAGGAAAGGAGAACCAATTGGCCGACTGGCTGTCAAGACCAGAGGCTGAAGGTGAGGTCCCCAGGATCATGATTTGAGCCAATAGCCTCGTCGACAAACTGGATCCCGGGAGGTTGGTGCAACTCTAACGGCAGCATCCTGTGTTACGAAAGGTTGCGGCCGCCTTGTTGGATGTAAAGAGCATTGAGTATGGAGAGGGAAGCAAGGAATTGGAAGCGTTCCTGAGTCACTTTGATCGGCTGAGATTGAATGAAGCTGGTATGATTCCCTGGAACGTTACTGGTTCGGAGGCTGTGCCGCCCGTGATACCTTGCCTCTTGAGACGGAACCTTATCGTCGAACGCCATGATATGGCACACTTCGGCAGAGGGATTACTGGCCCAGGATGAGAATTGAGGTGATGGATTATGTGGTGTGCTGCAAGTGATGCCAAGTAAAGAAAGGGGTTACGATACGGGCAACCCATCCCGTGGAACCTAGTCCTGTCTCAGAAATGGGTGAGTTTTAGTCCGTTGACGTCATGAGCCTCTTTCCGGTGCCAACCAGCGGGAATCAGTGCATCGTGATTATGACAGAACACCTGTCACGGCGGATCGAGGCAGCAGCCGTGCCAGATCGACAGGCGAGGACGATCAGCAGAGCGGTAATCCATCGTATCGTGGCCAACCATGGGTACTAAAAATGATCCTACCCAATTTGAGAGCGGAGGGTTCAAAAATTGCTTACAGAAGCTGAGTATAAGACGGCTAAAGACGGCACCATACCACCCGCAAACAAATGGCCTAACCGAAAGTAATAACCGAATGATCAAGAAGTGGCTGGCAGCTAAACGTGCAAGTGGGAAGTGAACATGCCAGTGGTGTTGCTAGCTCATCGCGATTCCATACAGCCAACCAAAGGCAAGTCCCCGTTTATGCTGATGTGCGGTCAACATCCGTGTCCTTCAGTTGATCAGGAAATCAAGGTGTGGCTGGCAACACGCTTGTCTCCGGAGGAGCTGGGGGAAGAAAGAATGGGAGTTGGAGAAAACTTGGCCGCCGTTTAGGAAAGGACTAGGCAGAAAATGGCAAGTGGAAAGGCAAGAACATTCCCCATAGGCACGAAGATCGAGTGGAAGGATCACCAGAATCCTAGGAGGAGTGACTGGGGTCGCGAAAGCCAAGCGGTCGAAGGAAAGGGCCATCTGTCAACCACCGGGGGAACGTCGATACGATTCAAACTGTGCGGGCATCGAAAAGTGCAAATGGGACGCCGCTCCGTAAGTGCCATGATACACCCGAAGAGTGGCCGAGTAGGTCCGCTGCCGAAGTCGACCTGACAGAGGTAAATGAAAGTCGATGGCATGCAAACGACCTTTAAAGAGAGAATGATACCACCGATGAGGGCATGCGAGTAATAAGTTTTACTCTTGTGAATTCGAGTTGCAACCATTGAAAGGGGAGATCTGTTGCGGAATTTGTGGAGTCGCTTTGTAACATTTGCATGGATTTGAGCAACAGTTAATGAATATCCAGGAATGTTCAGGATGACGCGTTTAGGAGAAGATGAATGTTCAGTTTCTGTAAATAAGGTACAAATGGGAGTTTTGCTTCACTGTCCACCAGTCTGTAACTGGTCAGTTGGTATTTTCTAATGAATAACTCCGCAGCGAAGCCCTCTTCCTTTCACCATTAGATCGCACTAGCGTTACTGCAGCTTAAAGAAACTCCGAATCTAGCTTTGAACACTAAACGCTACCCGGTCCGTAAGGTCACGGTAGTCCCTTTGGTTGGTATTTTGAATAACTCCGCAGCGAAGCCCTCTTCCTTTCACCATTAGATCGCACTAGCGTTACTGCAGCTTAAAGAAACTCCGAATCTAGCTTTGAACACTAAACGCTACCCGGTCCGTAAGGTCACGGTAGTCCCTTTGCTGAGTTCAAATTATACAGCCATGCCCCTTCGATTTCGCATTGTTCGCGCTCATTAAAGGGGCTGCTCTTTTTCGAACATGTTTTCAGGCGAAAAGAATATGCTGCGATCCATGTCTGCTTTAGCATCCCCAAACGGTCATGGAAGTAAGACTCCTATCCTGAGGGCTCACTTACCGATTGGGATTGAATTTAGTAACCAGAATTGTATAAGACTCTGACCCTTTATCTACGTCAAATTCCCAGCTATTACAAAATTGCAGCTAATCCTTCGGCCTGGCCCGTCACTTGGTTCCGTCTTCTTTCATTCAGTAATAGTCCGTGCGGGAACTGGCATTTATCAACATTAACTCCGTTTGCTCCATAATATTTTAAACCAAGAGCGGGTGCTTCCGGCTTGCTACACCGAACCCGATTGGGGCACCGTCAAAACCCCCTAATTGAAAATTATTATTGTCATCCGAGCCCACCTGAGGAACACCTAGCCACGTAAGAGCCTCAGGAGCCTTTCAGGACTACCACTATTATATCCGTTGTCAAAAGAGGAGGTGAAACTCACACCAGTTATCCTGGTCAACCTGAAATGTAGAACAAGCGTCGGCTTGGTTTGGGGCATCCGACGTCCTTCACGCATAAACGCAGTGTTTTCGTGCCAATCCTCGTTTCTCATTTAACCTACTACATACAGCCAAAAATCGGCGGCGCCCACCTGAGGAACACCTAGCCACGTAAGAGCCTCAGGAGCCTTTCAGGACTACCACTATTATATCCGTTGTCAAAAGAGGAGGTGAAACTCACACCAGTTATCCTGGTCAACCTGAAATGTAGAACAAGCGTCGGCTTGGTTTGGGGCATCCGACGTCCTTCACGCATAAACGCAGTGTTTTCGTGCCAATCCTCGTTTCTCATTTAACCTACTACATACAGCCAAAAATCGGCCGCCACAGACTGCCGCTCAGCTCTTTGTTTTTCTTGAGTATTCTGTAAAATTTGCTAAAAATGAGGCAAGGGTTAAGGAGCGCGAACCTGCTTACGCGCTTCTATTCTGCCCTTATTTCTTTCTCGGTTTCAGCTCCATTCTCAACAAAGAACGCTTGCGGACCAGCATATTGAAAAAACATTCTGCACAAAACTGGCATATCCAGATCATCGAAGTTTGAACTCACATCGGGTAAATTTGTGGAAAAGGCTAGACGAAACCCGCCACAGAAACTTTAGAGTCCAGACAACATCGAAAAATTCTCTAGTCGTTAGGGTGCCTTTATCATTTTGAGGGGGTTGGCTTAATGTTGTTTCGTCGTTCGCTTGACGTCCGCCTCAACCAAACAACTCACTTTTACCGTTTTTATACTATCCAGCCTTTCTTGGTCTTCCTGATTGAATATGCTGAGGAATGCTTAGAGAAGAAATACAAACTCACCATCAGCGCCACAAATTTAGCATGACTCAGGGTGTCCGTTTCCAGTAGCACTGCATATATGAACGTCTCCGATACATATACACACTCCGCTAAAATCAGAAAAAGCGCGGTTCTTCTGTTTTTGTCCAAAAGTTTGCTTACTGCACGTCTACTCGTGGGTTTAATCACGGCCGCGCAGAAAGTTTATTGAGCCCAGCTTCTTTATTCTTGGGCGTTTTCCTGAATCACTGTGCCACCTCTTCGCCTAAATATTCTTAAGTGAGCAATTGAGTCTTTTGTCTCTAATCTACACGTTTGACTGAGTTAGGTAGCCACTTTCATGATGTCATCAATCCGTTGATACTTTTTGTCAACCTACTTATCGATGTTTTACAGTACAAGTTTGTTATTTATGTATGGCAAATACCCCATCGTCGTGGTACCATGCATGCTCATGTACCTCTTTATACACTTGAGCACTTTTGTTTAATCAGGGAGGCCCATGGAATCCTTTCCTTTAGGCCGCCGCGTTCAGTTCATCGCTGATGTAAAATCTGACGGACTGGATCCAGCTTATTGTGGCTTTCCACCCAGGCATGTGCCCACTGTTCTGACGTACAAATTGGGAAATTTATGAAAAGATTTGTTCACCTATTCAGCGCTACCGAACCAAGATGCCAGTCCAGCTGAAGCTTGTTTGTACAACCCGTTCGGGTGCCAAAAATGGATCAACAAAGAGCTACGCCAGATCTGAGCAAGCATTGAAAATCTGCTACTAATCGTTCCATAGCATTGGAGTGTTGGTTTATTGAGCCTTGTTCCTCGTGCAGAAGTCACAAGCTGACCTCGACAGAAAATCGCTTGAAAAAATGTGCCGCCTATTACGGACGATTATAAAACAATCAAAACCATAAACAGTGCCGAAAGGTTTTGAAAGCTGCGTGGTCCATGAGCCAACTGGGCTCCGTGGATTATATTCTTCATGATCCTATCCCGGTTGATAACATCGAAACAATGACGGAACGGCACTCATATGAATCAGATTTATCGCACGTCATCTATGGGATTTTGAGCATGCTTGCCGCAATAGGCTTATTGCTGGGGCAATTATCCGGGCAAGACCAACTTTTCAAGGAATACGTTACTAATCAAGCAAACAAAAAGCCACGAAGCGTATCGGATGATTGAGTTCCAGGACATGGGAGTGACAAATAGTTATAGTGCCATGTGCACCTTCAGACATAGAACATAAGGCGATGACTCAGCTGGTAATTTGAAATGCCTCAGAATCCCCTTCAAATGTGATGGTACCTCTACTACCTGAGAACGGAAGAAGACCTTCGCTGCAGAGTTGTTTATTACAAAATGCCAACTGAACAGCTACAGACTGGTGGACAGGGAAGCAAAATCTCATATCCATCTTGTTTACAGAAAGTGAACATGTGTCTTCTCTTTGAACGCGTCTTCCTGACCTTTCCTGTTTACTCATTGACTGTTGCTCAAATCTAAGCAAATGCTACAAAGCAACTCCATAAATTCCGCAATAAATCTCACTTTTCAGGAGACGTAGAGCGGATTTGCGTGGAAATATACTACTTTCATGCCTCCCAATCAGTATTATCACCGTCACACACCTTCCCTAATTTAAAGGTTGATCGCGTGCCACCGATTTGCATTTACCTCCGTCAGGTCGACTTCGGCGGCGGGTCTACTCGGCCACCCTTCGGGTGTATCATGGCACTTACGAAGCTGCCATTTAAACTTTTCGATGCCCGAACATCTTGAATTAGACAGACGTTCCCTCGGCGGTCGACAAGTGGCCCTTGCCTTCGACTGTTTAGCTTCCGCAACACCAGTCCACACACCCCAATCAGTAGTATCACCGTTACACCTGTATTTCAAAAAAACGCTAGTTATATCTGCAATGAAAATCGCACGACTTTTCGTAGGAGAACTCCCCAATTAAACTTTTAAGAGCACGAATGAGACGGACAATCGAAACTGGGTTATTAATTGCCGGCAGACTTCGTGGGCCCATCCAACCGAAATCACTCAAGCTTCGACCGGTGTAATGTAGCTTGAGGAAACTTGAGCGACCTACCACGTTACAATCAGCCGAGTTGCCGCACAATGGTGAATATTTCAGAGTCAATTGTGCTTGCTTATTTAGTTAGAACGGGGGAGAATTTGCCTCCTGTGTTCGTCTCCTATTTGCTGCCGGAAAAAAAATAAAAATAATAACTTCCCGTAAAAACCATACAGTGAAGAAGCGGGTGACGTGCGATTAATTTGGAAGTGGACAGCTGTCCACCTTCCGGCTATGTGATTCAACGCCTTAGCCATACTATCGAGCGGCTAGATGTCAATTTCGGCATCTGTTGGCCATTTTCGAAGCCCAGTGCCATTTTCAGAAGGATGTGTTGAGCATCTGCCAGAACTTGAACGCAGGTCATTGAGAGGCTGCAACTCCACTGGATCCAATTTCTGCCACCCGCCTTTTGTCTTGAAATTTGGCTGCAGTGATGAAATCCTCATGGACGGACAAACAAATTGAAGAGAAAGTGGCCATCAGCCCAAAGATGACCCTTTCTAGTGAGTTTTTTCCGGAGGAAGGGAGACAGTGTCGGTCAAAATTTGAGAATTTTTCCAAGGGTCGGACATGCGGCACGCTGTACCCAAGGAGTTGGTTTCGATCATCGTTTATGTGAACTTGGATATGAATTCCTTCGCTGCCTTACGTGGCTACAGGCCAACGTGACATTTGATCTGATTTCAACCCAAATACGCAATACGCGCCGGAAAATCGTCATCTTGCCACACTTATTTTTTTCTTTTGCACCCAAGCATTTACAAAGATCAACAGCCTGTCATTCATCAGGGCTATTGGCGAGTCATATTATTTTGACTGAAACTCCATAATACAGCGTCTTCTGACTGTGAATCCGAACCCAGCTGCCGTGGGCCGATTCCCCTCTTCTCAGTATGGTCTACTGATGCCCCTTGAGTGCTCCGGAGAACAACCACTCCCCATAAAAACCTTTTAAGAACTTTGCTCCAGCTGCTAATTCACAACCTCTTGCTGGTCAAGGAGTTTACTCATACCTTCAAAATCTGAATGGAGCTTTAACGCGTCGGGTCAAGTGGACATTTTGACAGCTGACCAAGGCTGTTCAACAATGGTTTGAGTCAACACACCCTCAATCCCAACACAGGCCGCTACAATTTATCCCGGAAATGGTCATCACCAAGGGAAGGCACCTATTCGATCAGGTGTCTATCAACGCCCCGCTAGGACTTGGCGAGCACTGTGTGCTGACCTTTGGTTTCATCTGCGATTAGCCAGAAATCCGGAACCCCAAACGTGCAGAATTCTCAGGGATGCGCATCTTTGTTGATCGGTATAAACTGGAGCTACATTCAGGAGAAGATTTATACAGGACCATTGTACAAAACGTTCACGACGCTGACGGGATGTTCCTTGCGAAAAAACAACCCGCATTCTGATGGACCGCAAGCTTCTTCAAGGACTTCGGCGCATTCGAGAAGAGGTCCCGGAAAGTTGACCAGGGAGACAGAATGTAAATTGGCGTTTCGTAAATTACGCAACTGCCGTGATTCAAAGATCCGCCAATGGAACACACGGAAATAAGTCACCATGCTTAACCATGCCCAACAAACTATGCTGTTTAAGAACGTGAGGCATTGCCGAAGAAACAAGCCATCTGGGTTCACCTTGGGGTGCGGGAACGGGGAACCAACTAGTGACCGGGTAGTGGTATTTGAAATTTACTCAGGGCACTATGTGGGCAAGGATACTGCCATAATGGGATCGCTACACCTAACCCCGTCAAAGCGTAGCTATGAACGGCATCTAACCAACATTTTCAATCACCGCAAAAGATAGACCCGTTCTGTGCTATAGGTTAGACGAGTTCCATCCAAGGGCCCTGAAGAAAGTGGCATTCACACTGGTAAAGTATTTTTGCCCGATGTTTCATCAGTCGCTTTGCGAAGGCTACTTCCCTCTCTTGGAAGGAAGAGACTACCCCGCTAATCTTCAAACCTGGTGACCGACTATCGACTGGCAGCTACAGGCCTATTAGACACGTTAGCGTACCGTGCCACGTGATGGATCGCATTCTGAAGCGGGCCATCCGAAATCGCCTTATTTCCAACAATTTAGTATTCTCGATTCGAAGCGGATTCCTCCGAAACCGTTCTTTTCCGACGAACATCCTCTTGTCTACGGATATTTTGAACCAAACATAGGTCGAGGAATTAATGTCGAACGCCACATTTACTGGCTTTCAAAAAGCACTCCTCACCCCTGCTGCCCCACGAACTCGAGTGTTACGGGATTCAGCGGGAGTCCCCCGCTGGACCAGAGCGTTCTTATCAGGCAGAAAATACCGAATGAAAGTAGGTTCGACTTACTATTATCCGCTTTCGGTCCAAAAAAAAATTGCTCAAGGCTTCGTTCTAGGATTACTTCGGGTTTTCATCTAAGTCAACAGCCTTTCTGACATTCTTCCCAGTCGATATCTGCTTTGTGCAGGTGACTTGAAATCTTGGCGTTCTAATTCCAACGCTCTCCAAATGGATGTTGGTGCCCCAAAGCAGCGGTCGTGGGACTAGCATCTTCCCGCAGATGGCGAAAAGTACAGCATGTCATTTGGAGGGAACTCGGCCAAAACTTTTGTCGTGCATCGCGAAATCGGACAAGAAGACATCAAGAAGAGAGATGCCAAAGAGGATGTGGGCATCCCGCTCCCTTCAAAGATGTCCTTCTCACCGCACTGTTAGAGATTGTCCCAAAGGGCATTAGCTTTTCTGTGGATGATTCAGCACACCTCTGGTATTACCCGCATGTACTTCCAGATACCCTATGGGAATCGCGTCAGAACACTTCTTGAATATGCCAACCAAGTTGTCTACGCAGGACGCGTGAAAGACGTAATGCTCATTCAGTGTGTCAAACGAGCCTCTGCGAAAAGCGCCTCACGGTGTTTGACCACTTCCGCTGGAGTATCGTCAACCCCGAGATGAACTGCCGCTTAATCCACGCAGGCGGGTGAAAGACGTAATGCTCATTCAGTGTGTCAAACGAGCCTCTGCGAAAAGCGCCTCACGGTGTTTGACCACTTCCGCTGGAGTATCGTCAACCCCGAGATGAACTGCCGCTTAAATCTGTCCTGTTTAAACAATATTCGACTAACAGGTTATTTCACCGTCACCCCACCGCCACCACCTCCCACACGCGGTAGGAACATGGTAAGGAGATTTTCAAGCTCAAAGCGCACACTTTCCCTGAGTAAAAGTTTTCTCATTTTGCATATTTGCTGTATGGAATAGCCCTACCCCGACGGTTGTCCACGCTACTCCTGATAGCCAGTTCAAATCACTATTAGACGCTTTTCATACGAATGCTCGCGCTGGCAAGCTTACTGCCCCAAGCTGAGAACTTTTCCGCTTGGACCGAGTTGGGTTGGACTGAAGTGAACTGGATTAGATTGCATCGGATTGGTTTGGATTGGATTGGGACTTATAGACCAATTGGAGAACTTTTCCGCTTGGACCGAGTTGGGTTGGACTGAAGTGAACTGGATTAGATTGCATCGGATTGGTTTGGATTGGATTGGGACTTATAGACCAATTGCTCACGGAGGCTTGATTCGGTTCGTTGCGGGCAGGCTGTGGCGATGGCGGATCCGAGATTGCGCAAGCTTACAATATCGACAAACGTGGTGAAGCGGTAGGAGTTGCAGATCAGCGATCACCCTTTCCCGTAGAATAGCTAAAGAAAAGGCCAGGTACGAGGAGGAGGTGGTTCAACAGACTAATCTATATGATGCCAAAGTAACGGAGGGTGCTGACGAGTACGAAATTAAGATGGCGGTAGTCTCATTTTATTTGTCACCAAATGTTTGTAGAAAGCTATTCTGGATGAATCTAAAATGATGTTACCGGACTGCCAAATACGGCTGGACAAGGCACTTTTTGCACTCAATGAGCTGTTGCAGGTATTGTTTCCCGCCGCGTTTCCGTAACCTTCCACTCCAGGAATGTGCTCAGGACTTGGATGGCACGAAAGAGTTCTTGGAAGCCAAGACTGCGTACACGGATTTCAGCAGATCTGTCAAATAGACCATTCCCAGATTATACTGTTTCAATCAGCTGTCCCTTTGATGTAGTATGGGTCATTACTCCGGTAAACAAAAGATGTCAGCGCGATTGTCGGCAGAAGTCTGACCCTGACAGAAATGGTTCGGGTCTGATAATTGGCGCGCCCTAAGTCCTGTCTGCTTGGTCTAACAAACCTTTCCGTATCCTATCCAACTAACGTACCCTCACCATCTAGTTGGTTTAACCCGAAAGTGGAGTAGAGTACTTCCCATAGGTGATCTCTGAGGTGCGATCGAAGGAGATGAAATAGCTTAGGTATTGTGGACTCTGGATTGGTGGGGAAAATGCTGGTGACTACGCAGTTGATGTATAAAACAACGTTTTGACTACTGAAGACGGCTGCTTTCAAAGAACAGACGACCAACATTAAAACATTACCGGTGTGGCTTGCAACAAACTGGTCAAAATGGTGTCATCCGTACTGTAACTGGTGTGTAGTTCATGTGTATCCCGTCGATCATGTGTGTTAGATTCTCACGCCTGATAATGATGCTGAATTGTTTCGTCACACGCTCTCTTACACTTCATTCATCTTTTTATGATGGAGCAAGCCGGACCATGTGGCGGATAACTCAGCGCTATCAGACCTGGTATCCCACAAATGTGTTGTTTAAATAGTCGCTGACTGAACATAGTTCTTCTGTTCATAAACATAAGGATTTTGCTGCAGCGTAGCGAACAAACGAGTGTCACTCGGCTATCCCACACCATTCGTTAGCTGAGGAACTTCGGGTCAAATTTGAAAACGTGTACATACTGCAATGAGATCCCAACATATATACACAGCAATGTTGTGCCGAATGAGAGTCTGTTCGAATGGTGACTTCGTGCGTTGCTAGGCCTGATCTTCCGGTTGTGGCACCCAACTGCCACTCCATCCAGAGGAAGCACAAGGGCATGGATACTGCTAGGTTGTCTAAATCTAAATGGGAAAGTCAAGATTCAGAGGTCGGTTCCGAACGATGGACCTTCCGCCCAGTAAGTCATCTCTTTCTGCTAGACCTGATAGTCTTTGCTTATCTGCAGTTTGATCCCTTTGACCATTGGGCAGATTACTTTATACGACAATCATCGTGGCCGCCGGTTGCCACTCATCTGCAGCCTAACTGACGCAGAACCCTGGAAGGTGAATGCGGAACCCCCTATGGCGTCGGAGGTGTATGACTGCGTGTGTTCTCTCAAGTACCACTGAGCTTCTGATCCGAGTGACTTTTCACCCGCATTGTTCAAAGATGAGAATGAAGTCCTCAGTCAGCGCTTGTCTGCTCTGTTTACCTGCATTTTGGAGAAATAGACTGTCCCGAACAACTGGGGAGAGTAGGTGATAGTGTTCGTTTTATGAAGTCTCTTTGTAAGTGGGTTAGCTACACCGGGGGTCAGCTTGACAACAGTCGTAACAAAACTGTTAGCGCCTTTTGTGCTTCGGCGCCTTGCGGTGACTCAGGAACCACCAGATCGAGGACAGCAAACGGAGTTACGGCCTGGTAGTGGTTGCGTTGACTAAATCCTCACAATCAGGTGCTAGAACAACACCATACGTACAGAAGACCCACGCTTTTAGTATTCCTGGATTTCAAAGGCGCGTTCGACCCGGTTCACCGTTCTGTCCTCCTTGCTTGCCCATCAAGGAATGCCCCGGAGGTTTGTGAACATCATGCGTTCTTTGTGTTCTCAGACTTCTGGACGTGTGAGAGTATACGGGAAGCTCTGCAAAAGGTACACAAAGTGGTGCCCACACTCTCCATTATTTAATTCCGTGACCGATGAGATAATGGGACGAATGCTGGAAGATATTCAAAACCATTGTATTCAAAAAGCTGCGGGCGAAAACCTTGCCCACCTGGAGTACGAGACGACATCGTTCTAGTCTTCGAAGAGAAGGCACAGGTCTCTTTGGATGAACTGACCGAAGTCACTCCACCCTTTAGTATGCGGTTTGCACCCATAATGTGTAAGTTCATCCCATGAACGTACAGTCACTGAGCACGTCATTTACAGTCCAGGTAGATTTACTCGAACTTGTGGAGCGTTTTACATATCTTGGAAGTTGCATTGGTTCTGATTGTCGTGTGACAGATGACGTCAATCCACGAACCTAGAAGGCCTGGGTCACGTTTGCTAATGCGAGACCCCTGTGGCGTCAAAGTGGTATATCCCTGAAACTGAAGGGACGTGTGTACCAGGTTAAAGTGCGGTCTCTTGTCGTATGGTTGTGAAAATTATCCCGTCCGAGCGGATGGCGACATGTCTCGGTGGTTGGAGGCCGACTGTACTGACTGGAAAACCCTGGGTCGAACCCGACCTCTACCTCTCAACTTCCCCTGTCTAGGTTTGGAGAACTTGGCAGTATTCCAGCCCTCGTGCCTCCTTCTGGTGGCATGGCAGTTAGCCATCGAAAGGACTGGACCATTTTTTTCTGTTCGAGCAGCAGATCTGAGACGTCTACAGGTATTTGACGTACCGTAGCTCGCGTGTGTTGATGATTATTTGCTGTGACCTAGTTTATAATGCAGAGATGATTCAAACACAACAGGAGCACGTAACACGACAAGTCAGTCGTAAAGTCAGCTATGAAGCATGCTCACGGTGACAGGTGGCATAATACATTTCAATGAGTTGACCAGTCTTTGGCTAGTCTCATCATTGACAGCGACACCAGAGAAGACTGGTATCACACTGGCATACAACCATATTAGTTTATTCGAATAGAGCTTTATGGTGGAGTGAAGAAAAGTGGTTTAGGGTTCGAGACCAATCGATATCCCTTTCCGACGCAACATGTGGCGCCATTCTGGTTTTTGGAATTCGTTCGTTGATTTCGACTATCGCACGAATGTCAGATCTAATAAAACTTCCAAAGTACCTACAGTGTTCCACAACGCCCACTGTCACTGCGAATTCTAGGACACCTTTTTTAAGGTGGTTCGACCCGTGGCATGGCTTTGGACTTTGAGGGTGCACAGTACATAGTGAAGGCTTGAATGACCGTCACTTCTAGTAATTCTTGCACCTCCTAACCCTTTTCAAAGACTAGAAGAATACGTATTCCAGGCTGACATAGTTCTCGCCGGTAGAGATCGAATATTCGAGCCCAATTCGAACTGATCAAGCTCTATAATTCCAGTCTACGAAAGGGGCTTGTTCTGCTGCCAGTCATTTTGAGGATTCTAACGAGTGTCATGAGTTTCAGACTCTCCAACACAAACTTGTAAGCCGCCATGAACAGGCTGTCTTCCACGATAGACGTAGTGTTGGTCAGATCTTTACGCTGAGACAAATTCTCGAGTGCCGCCGCACGTACCAATAACCGATGATGACACTGTCCTGAACATTCGTTGTGCCCTCGGTTCGATGGCTATTCTGGGAGCGTAATTAGTGCGTTGTGTGTGGGTACACATTCAAACATATTCACGCTTAATATGTAGTGTATTGTGCCAGGGATATACGGTATCGTCGTTCTTACTCAACACTGTGAGCAATGATCTCCTTCCAGCTTCACTTGCTTGAATGCTCGATGGTTCTGCAGATCTTGTTCTAGAGGGCCGAATCCATGACTGTGGTTACACAGATGGTACCGTCGCTTATGGAACTTATCCACAGTTGAAATCGGTCATCCTGATGGAGCCAACAACAAGAGCACAGTGCTGCGTGATGCTTTTTTCTATTGAAATGCACCGTTTTGTTACTGGCCTGATCGACTGCGTCACCTGATTGTGAGACTATGCCTTTCGACGTTCTTGCGTGCTGTAAACATCTGAGGTCTTGTATCTTAATTAATGGATATACGGGTTGTGAGCCAGTGGCTCTTATAACGTGGGCGAGGGTTTGATTTGGCGTCAGTCTTGTGTTGGGATGGCAGGTGTGAAGCGTGTCAGCTGGAGCGGCGCTACTCTTTAAATGTGAAAGCTTGTCTTCGGGTCGAGGATATCCAGAGGTTATCCGCGTTGGATCATCGTTGATGACGGCGGATCCGCGCGTCTCGCTGAAGCGACGCCAGTAATGCAGAAGTACGAAACAATAGAACTGAGAGAAGCATGTTACTTATAGCGGAAAAAGAAATCTCACACGGACTGTTCAGTGACAAGCAGCTAGGACTGTCGACACTGAAGGTCGTCTTGGACCGCAGCAGCACTAAAAACCGAAACTGCTTAGTCGCACGGTACTTCCCACACGCGAGCCAACCTCAAATACCGATAGAATATGTCACTACGATCCATAAGTGGCGTGTATGAATCGCTGACTGTCGCTCGTTCTGGAACATCTGCATTGAGTCTCACCACATGCTTATCTGTTATTGCTTGTCCTTGTGCTCTTCGAGACGAACAAAATACACATACCTCGCTTGAGGAGTATTAAGTCCTCGGACCCGAATATGAGGCAAACCATTGATAACAAGAGATTTCAACAACCTTATGAGCAGTGTGTTGCGTCTATCCGTGTACCGTGATATTTCGAATACGAAAACAAGGCAGCCTGGTGTAGCACATTCAGTTGCTCAAAAACATCAAACGAGAGATTCTGCTGGATTCCAGGTGGATCTCCGTTCAAAACCAAAGTTGTATGCAAATGAGTGCACTTCGCTAATGTACTAATGCTAATGTAATGAAGGACACGAAGCAGCAGTTCTTCACATTATTGAAGCATACTTGAAGGGGTATCGAAACATTAGAATATCCTACAGTCAGCAGAAAAGCTTTGGCGATAAAGCCCGTGGGGTAGCATGAGTGTTCTAGTGTTGATGAATCAACTACAAGTTACAGAATGGTGTTTCGAACTAGAAACAACTGAAATCAGTATGCGTCCGAATAGCGCACGGGAATTTCCGAAAGCTTATCAATTGTCGCTTTTTCATACATCATTATTCCCTGATTAGTCTTCTCCATTTCATTCGAGCATTCAAGACAACTAGGGGACATTACAAGTTCCTCTCGTAAAATCAACGCAGTGTTGCAAGCACCAGATTCTCCTGTGCGACAAACAGTCAGAAATGCCTCCACTTGTCCACCAAACATGCAAATAGACGTATACAATACAAAAAATGTTGCATCCATTTGTAAGTGCTAACTCTAGCAAGCCTCTTCAGCACTCCGCTTTGATCGCGCCCTTATTCATGATGTCCTCCACCACTTAATTTATACATACGCAGTTCCCCCGCTGAAGAAAGAATAAGGATTTCCGCACGTACCAATAACCGATGATGACACTGTCCTGAACATTCGTTGTGCCCTCGGTTCGATGGCTATTCTGGGAGCGTAATTAGTGCGTTGTGTGTGGGTACACATTCAAACATATTCACGCTTAATATGTAGTGTATTGTGCCAGGGATATACGGTATCGTCGTTCTTACTCAACACTGTGAGCAATGATCTCCTTCCAGCTTCACTTGCTTGAATGCTCGATGGTTCTGCAGATCTTGTTCTAGAGGGCCGAATCCATGACTGTGGTTACACAGATGGTACCGTCGCTTATGGAACTTATCCACAGTTGAAATCGGTCATCCTGATGGAGCCAACAACAAGAGCACAGTGCTGCGTGATGCTTTTTTCTATTGAAATGCACCGTTTTGTTACTGGCCTGATCGACTGCGTCACCTGATTGTGAGACTATGCCTTTCGACGTTCTTGCGTGCTGTAAACATCTGAGGTCTTGTATCTTAATTAATGGATATACGGGTTGTGAGCCAGTGGCTCTTATAACGTGGGCGAGGGTTTGATTTGGCGTCAGTCTTGTGTTGGGATGGCAGGTGTGAAGCGTGTCAGCTGGAGCGGCGCTACTCTTTAAATGTGAAAGCTTGTCTTCGGGTCGAGGATATCCAGAGGTTATCCGCGTTGGATCATCGTTGATGACGGCGGATCCGCGCGTCTCGCTGAAGCGACGCCAGTAATGCAGAAGTACGAAACAATAGAACTGAGAGAAGCATGTTACTTATAGCGGAAAAAGAAATCTCACACGGACTGTTCAGTGACAAGCAGCTAGGACTGTCGACACTGAAGGTCGTCTTGGACCGCAGCAGCACTAAAAACCGAAACTGCTTAGTCGCACGGTACTTCCCACACGCGAGCCAACCTCAAATACCGATAGAATATGTCACTACGATCCATAAGTGGCGTGTATGAATCGCTGACTGTCGCTCGTTCTGGAACATCTGCATTGAGTCTCACCACATGCTTATCTGTTATTGCTTGTCCTTGTGCTCTTCGAGACGAACAAAATACACATACCTCGCTTGAGGAGTATTAAGTCCTCGGACCCGAATATGAGGCAAACCATTGATAACAAGAGATTTCAACAACCTTATGAGCAGTGTGTTGCGTCTATCCGTGTACCGTGATATTTCGAATACGAAAACAAGGCAGCCTGGTGTAGCACATTCAGTTGCTCAAAAACATCAAACGAGAGATTCTGCTGGATTCCAGGTGGATCTCCGTTCAAAACCAAAGTGGTATGCAAATGAGTGCACTTCGCTAATGTACTAATGCTAATGTAATGAAGGACACGAAGCAGCAGTTCTTCACATTATTGAAGCATACTTGAAGGGGTATCGAAACATTAGAATATCCTACAGTCAGCAGAAAAGCTTTGGCGATAAAGCCCGTGGGGTAGCATGAGTGTTCTAGTGTTGATGAATCAACTACAAGTTACAGAATGGTGTTTCGAACTAGAAACAACTGAAATCAGTATGCGTCCGAATAGCGCACGGGAATTTCCGAAAGCTTATCAATTGTCGCTTTTTCATACATCATTATTCCCTGATTAGTCTTCTCCATTTCATTCGAGCATTCAAGACAACTAGGGGACATTACAAGTTCCTCTCGTAAAATCAACGCAGTGTTGCAAGCACCAGATTCTCCTGTGCGACAAACAGTCAGAAATGCCTCCACTTGTCCACCAAACATGCAAATAGACGTATACAATACAAAAATGTTGCATCCATTTGTAAGTGCTAACTCTAGCAAGCCTCTTCAGCACTCCGCTTTGATCGCGCCCTTATTCATGATGTCCTCCACCACTTAATTTATACATACGCAGTTCCCCCGCTGAAGAAAGAATAAGGATTTCAGTGCCGATTCATCCCCATTGAACACATGGGAAAGAGCAACGGCACACTGCGCAGGGCAAAGTACAAGATAGAATGGTGACACCAGATCCTTGTTAGTTCAGTCACGAATTTTTTAGCGTGAGCTATCAGGACTAACACAAGATGCACCGGGTGCTGTGCAAACGCGCCAGAATGAGACAGTGCACTTCTACTCATAACCCTAATTTTCCTGCTCTGAACTCGGTCATCAACACCGCCCTCAGTTGTGAAAACCTCGTACTTACCCGACAAAGTTTGGTTGTAGTCGACAACCAGCGGTCTCAAAATTCCAAGATTTGTGGTTAGGTATTTTCATTTTAGGACCATAGTGCCAAACTATCGACGGTGGTAAGAGTGCACTAACCTTGTCCAAGTGCTGATATTGTAAGCCCTAAAAACCTGAGTTGCGGGAGATGCAGCTGTTCACAAACGTTTCTGAGAGCCTACTCAAAATTAGCTTTCGCGCAATCTTACACAAACGGGAGAACTGATGAAAGCTGTTCGGTAACCAGCTCTCCTGGTAAATTTAAGAATTGTGATCGCGACCTCATTACATTGGCGGCTGAATGGGTTGTACTCACCCTCTTACGAACAACGATCGACAGAGGTGGAATTCGCATTTCCTCCAACGTAACTTTTGAGCTAGCAGCGTCCCCTCTATTAAGTGTCGTGCAAGAAAAGTATCCGTCACCGGGATAGAATCGAACTTCTTCGACCATCGAGCGCCCTTACAACTCAAGAATTTGTAATCTTTTACTTGACATCGTTTCTTCCAACGGAACGCGATGACGCGTTCACCAACACCTGCCGTAAGTCGGCGTGCCGGACAAAACATTTATTCGGGCAGTTTTACAAGTTCCAAAGGACTGCCTGGAGACGAGGTAATCTCCGAATCCGGAAGGCCAAGGCGCTTCTGTCAAATTCCGGCACCTTTGACGCCGGTGTATTCGCAGCTGCTGTAACCCATACTACCCCAAATACTTACCGATACACACAGGATTTACGAAAACCTTTGGCGTCCAACCATCGAAGACTCCAAAGGATTGATCGGGTCTGGTAGGAACATCGGATTAACAATGCTGAGCTCCAGGTTGGGTGGGCTATTTACGTTCCATAGGTTGCGCTGAACAGGACATGTATATTACATGCCAGAAGATCGCCTTCATCGCGGAGCTCTTCCCATCCAGTCTTGTGCTGAATGGAAGCTACCGAGAGGTGGTCAGCCAATACTAACCAGTAAGCTCAGTCGGGTTAACTGCTACCGCCCTGGAAGATGACCCCAGGATTCAACTCGCCAACGGTTAGTGGAACCGGTAGACAGCTCAATCCCGCGGTCTGCGGCTTCTCTACATCAGAGCCATAGCCTTCAATGCGTACCCGACCGGCTCTCAGTCTTTTGGAATAACTAGCCTGGTACAATGCGAGCCATGTAATCATCTATTCCGATACTAAGCTATCTCTCCTCCACTTCCCAGCGACCGAATCTGTACTGGATGGAACCAGCTTATTCTTGGTATGTTTTCCACAGCTGACGAAGTGATCAGAACTGATATCATTGTCGTCATGGGCTACATAGAATCAGTGACTGGTTTATGCGATATTACAAGCCCAGGTTGACAATTTATGTGGGCTTCCAAAAAATTGGGGGAAATACCAACTTAGCAGATCACTGAATGCACTTAACGTCGAGTAACATTCAGTCTTGCGCAATATTGTGCAGTAAAGTGTAAGCGGCACACAACAGTGCCGTTTTCTTTCGGCTAGAATCACCTGTCTGTTACCGTTTTTTTCTGTCACAGAATTCCTCCCGTGGGTAACAAAAACAACATATATTTAAGCCGATCTTGTATACCTCCCCCAGAAATGAAGTAGGAAGACAGCGACAATGAAACAAAGACTCATCACAAGAACAGGTACAGGTCCCACTTTGATGCCCGGAGAATCTTCGGAGTAGAACAGAAAGACGGGTTTGTTCGGAGCAGTCGGGGCGACGGGTCTTTTGGACGTCGTGGTCGTGGACTGTTAAAAGGAAGAAAACGGGTGATTGGTGATGATTGGCTAAGGAAAAATTGCGAAACCCATACAATGACAGTCCGCTCCAATAAGGGAACAGTAATTTTATTTTAATTTTGTCACCATAAGGGAAGCGAAAGGAAACCCCCGTTTTAATTCCAACGTGAAAATCGGATACAGTAGTCTTTCTACATTAGTGGCCTCAATTATGTACTGTATTGGGTCGAGATAGCTCAAGTGATTAGAGCGCGAATTTACTATCGGAAAGCTCGTAGTTCGAATCCGAACTCCGGCTCTCGACTTCTGTCTAGGCTTGGGCAACTGGCAGTATCCCAGCCCTTATGCTTCCTTCTGGTGGGGCATGACAAACACCGAAAGGGCATTGCAGCGGAATGATGAATGTATTGTGAGTGGTTGGCATGATCATCGTCAGTGTTGACACTGAAGCTGCACTACCGGACAATAAAGCCTATTCACTTTTAGTAAACACCTTAGAGTGAAAAACGAGTGGACATGGGAGGAACCGATGGGTGGCCTACGTCAAGCATCATGATGTCCTACACCTCCAAGCACACAACCAACCTGGGACGAAACTGACAGCACGGACGCCACTGGCATCGGTTGACAACCATACATTGTAGTGTCCCCAACCAGGCAGTGAGAATCACGCGACCACCATCCTGGAAGGCAGGTAGCACCGACAGCACCCAAACGCTTCACAATTTAATTCATACCCCTTGATGTCATGCTGTCGACGATGATGATGACTCCTTCGCCAAGTCAAGGGTTGGCCACCTCTCTGTTTACGCTACTCTCAAGTGGCATGGAAAACAGTACTCTCTCCGGCAAACGACGGTTCGGCATACGCAACACGTCCCAACCAACGCAGCTTCTGACGCCTGACACATTCTTCGATGGAGT